CCTAAAGAAAATGGCTTGTTCCTAAACATTTGAGATCCCAAAATAGATGTTGAAAGTTTTATGACCTCTGACATTCAGAAAGAGAGATGGTATTTGCACTACTTCAACTATGGCACATTCTAAATTTTTTAAAAAATTAGGAGGTGGAATATCCCTCTGGAGTCTAACCACCACCCCAGTCATTTATATAAGACATCTGATGGTAATGAGGATGGAGATCTGGATGCTATAAAGCAGCATGTAGAGTGGAAAGAACAGCATATTAAGAGCAACAAGATGACTAGCTAACAGGGTGTCTATGGTCTAGCCATTTAACCTTTCTGGGATTTATTTTCCTTATTTGCAAAATAAAAACTGTTGGCTCTTTTAGAGCCCTTTCCATTCTAATTGGCTATGATTGTATGTTTTCTTCATATTTACCTTTGTTGTAGGAACGGACAAATGAAGGTACAAAGGAGGGCGTATGAAAAACCTTCATGACCAGATTATAGAACAGAAGTCTGCACTCAGGAACACTCCTTCCCCACCTGTGGAGCTCTATGTAGTGGAACATAACTCAGGAGTGTGCTCTTGCAAATATCAAGGCAGAGATGACCTATCACACAACAAATCTCAGGGGAAGCATTTAGTGTCATACAAGTGGATATCTCAGGAGGCTCCCAATTCCAGATTGGTCCTCCTAACCTGACTGGAGATATCCGAGGATAATGTTTGTATGTTTGTTTTTTTTAGCTGAGAGGACATGGGAGGGGAGAGGGAAACTTAGAGGGAAGAGCCTCCACTCATCAAATCAGCAGTGCTACAGCCAATTTAGGCCACAAAAATTAAAACTCACTAGAATCTCTGGTTTAGGTGATGTTAGGACCTCATGCAAGCTTTCTCACACCTACTTCTTTCTTAAAAGCCTAGAAATCTCTACAGAAAATTAAAAAAGCAAAATATAGCCATTTGTCTTACCACTACAGACCTGGTCTTGGGATGTTTGAGGAGATTATTTTCTGTATTTTTAGAACTAAGGGAATGGTTCCATTCATTCCTTTAATTTCTGACATCTGGCTTCCAGAACTGTGAGAAATAAATTCATGTTATTTTAAACTCTCAAGTGCATGGTATTCTATTATAGAAGCCATGGCAAAGTAATACAAAATCTTTGCAGTATTAAAAGCTGAAGTTTTGGTTTAATTTGTCACTGTAGAATGACCTAACAGGTTTTGTTGTCTGTGCTCTGTTTTTTTGTGTGTGTTTTTGTGTTTGTTTGTTTTTTACAAACAAATGAAGAGTCTTTTGCTTTACTTTCAATTATCATTTATTCATTCATCCAAATCTTTTACTGAGCTCAAACTTTTTTCTAGACATGAGTTTTTATTAGAGTACAAGTCAGAATTTGTATTCATAGAACTTTTATTTTTCCCGGGAACACAAACTAAAAAAATAAACACATGCAAATATAGATACACAATTATACATTTTGACCAAAATATGAAGGAATGATTGATAGAGTCAATATTGAGGAATTTGGCCAGTGTAAGTTTGTTCATTAACTGAATCACCATTTCATTAGACTCTCATGAGTTTTTCTATGTAATCAACATTTGACTAAATTCTGAGAATACAGACCTAAATGAGATGATGTCAGTGATCTTAAACTATTCCCTATTCAGTAGTACAGTAACTATATGTTTAATAAACCAATATGATTAATAAAATTTTTAATAGTTATGTAGATAAAAGTGACAATATAGAGAAAGAAATGAAAAAAGATAGGGAATGAAATGGAAAGAAAAGGAAATTAAATTTTTGAGCATCTATTCTGTTTAAGCATTGTGCTATGTTTTGGCTTCATCAGTATATAATTTTGTGAGGTAGGCATTATTTTCCCTCACTGAAGCTCAGAACATTTAATTAACTTGCTCTGTATCAAAAAGCTGTATTTTTAGAACTTGGAATGGAATTCATGTTGAAATATTTTCTGTCTCCAAGATCTGTGCTAATTTTATTTGCGCCAGCCATTTCAGTTATGATTTGGAGGTTGGTTGAGGATTCACAAATAAACCATTGTGGTATTAAGTTGTGTTAGAATAGTGTGACAGTTTTTCTCATTACATAGTCTCTCACTACTGACTTACTCCCAACAACATATAGATGGACTTATGAAAAACTTTCTTATTAGTTAGTGCAAATAATACTAGATGTCATACAAGCAAATTCCAATATTTTAATGCCAAGGTCACATAGGTTGTTTATTAGTTATTCTATGGGTGACTCAGGACTGAGGCTTTTTCTATTTAGAGGTTTTGCTATTTTTGTGCTCTGAATCCTCTCTGGCCAAATGATGATACAGAATAAGAGTGAGTTGAAGATCACCTGGAACATTTCACGAGAACACTGAAAGCACATGAATTACACACATTTAATTAACAAGAACACAATCACATGGTCTCAATGAACTTCACAAAGGGTGAGAAATTGAACCTAGCTATGTGTTCAGGTGTGAAAAGGAAATAGTTTGGAAAACAATTAACCTGTCTTTTCTATTGTACTGCTTTGATGGGCAAATATCTGTTTTACATTTCCTCCATACGGAGGTCATATTAGTCAACTCCATTAGGGAGACAACCCAAAATTACATTAATCATTACAGAAGTTTCCCATCCAGGCTATTGAATAGGTTAAACTATCCTCTCCATCTAGTCAAGATATGGCTCTTTATGTCTAGCAACTCATGAACTAAAAAGAAAACTTAGTTCATTCTACATGCACACCCAGTAAATAAATAATGTTGGACCAGTGTAAAGATGAATACAAAAAATAAACTTCTCATTCATAACAGAAAATACACACTAGCCAGTTTAGAAATCTTGCTGAATTGACATTAGAAAGGCCCATCAAACCTGACCATGGGAGATATTTCTCTATGAGACTTACTTTCTCTGGGTATAACTCAATTTTCTACTGTTCTCCTTGGACCTTTGTTCCAACCACTTGAATACTTTGTTTTCTGATTCATTATTCTTCATGATCACTTTTAAAACATACCAAACACAAAACCATGTCCCACACAAAATTAACAGATTGTTGTTCAGTAACTTGTGACAAAGGAAACTATCTTTAGTCCCTTTCATTTCAGTGGAGTTCAAGAGTGTTAGAAAAGAGAGTAAGTTTATTGAGTAACATGAATAAATACCAAGTCATTGTATGATTGGCAAGAGTTTTATTAAGATAAGTTTTTTGAAAGTGAAAGAGATGTTCTAACTGGTCTCCGGCACCTTTGTCAATAATTGGTTGGCTGCAAGTGGGCAGGTAAATAGTTTGGAGAATTTCAAAAGAGGAAGAGCTGTTCAGTATTGGGGTGGAAAGTTTATTGAGACTACTAATTTTATGCAAGAAGTTGGGGTCATTATCAAGTGAATATTGGTGGTATTTCCCCTTGAAGCATATAGAGTTTTTGCAGCTTCTATCCATATAGTTTAGAATTTCTGGAGTTCTTTCAATGCTCATTAAAATTATTTTTATATCGAGGCTCAAAGATTTATTTCTAATAAAAAACCAGATTAAGCTAATACTCAAAGGGACCTCTACTCAAGTTGAGGGAAATAGATGAACAAGTGAATAAATGAATTCTAGAGCTGAATGTTGATGATAACGATGAAGAATAGAGCAGGCTTAGGGAAAAATAAAATCCATGATATGGGAGTGACTGTTTTATAAATTAGTTCATGACAGGTCTATACAACCTCCCTGAATAGGTAACATTTAAGCAGCTATCTGAAGTTAGTGTGGGAATATTCTATGTAGAGGAAATAGCAAATACAAAGAAGCTGAAATAAGGGCAAGGTTGGAGCTGCCCAATATTGCTAGAAACCAGGGTGAATGAAGGAGGATGAATGGTAGGAAAGTGATAAGGCATGATAGAGTTTAACAAAGTATGAATGAATGGCATTAACCATTTCAAGAAATGAAATTATTATTAATGCCGGTGCAATTTTTAAAAAGTAAAGAATTGGTATTCAAAAAGTTAAGGTAAAAATGATTTAACCATCTCTCCCTTTTTTATTAAAAATTTTTAATGTTGACATTATTGCAGATATCTTCATTCTGCCCCACTTTGCCCACCTCCACCCACCCCCCATTTCTCCATCCCTTGGCCTTCACCACACTATGGTCCATGTCCAGAGGGTGA